ATGTAAGCTCAGTACCCTCTGCTCAGAGTCTATTTGAAATATCAATATTTTCAAACACCTGGCATACTGGATCCTTTTCTATGAACTGCAAAGGCTATCTTTTATTAAAGTCACAAACTGTGACCTGCCCTTAATAGTAGAGCCATCAAACAGGATGTTTGTAGATTATAGAGACTTAGTGACTTCATTGTTAATAATAATTATTAATATTATATGTTATTATATAATAATATTGTGTTAATTCTATATTTACCATACATTTAGCTTAGATGGCTACACTTTATGTATAATACATATAATGTAAATATATAATAAGATTTGGACATGGTGACCAATAATACCAGAATGAGGGAAAGTAAAATTTTCCTTTGAGTTGGCCTTGTACAGCTATTTCCTAAGGGTTTGAAAAATATATAAAAACATCACAGACAATTAGAACATAGGCAAATCTTCAAGTTCTTCCCATAAAAAAATAAATCTCTGAGATATATTAGTAACATTTCACTAATACTGACTTTAAAATGACAACTCCATCTATACACCTCTTTTTTTTTTTGCATCATGAGTTATCCAACCCCAGGGCCTCACACATGCCAGGCAGATGCTCTAACCCATTCTCAACTCTTAAAATAGTAACACATCAAATGCAATTACATATAAAATCTCTTGTGAAACAGATCTTTATGGTTTGCTAGGACCTCTCTGGGAAATATCAGAGTTTTAGCTGTAAAGTGCATCCTAAATATTTTTTTCAAAAAGAAAGTCAGTCTGAAGAGGCACCCCTAAAAATGATGTCAAATGAGTCTTAGACACCTGGTTAAAACATGAGCACAGGTACTCAAGGAGCCATCAACACAGCACTAAAACATTTTTTTGCGGGTGGGAGGGAGGGGGTCCAGTCGTGGGGCCTGAACTCTGGGCCTGGGTGCTGTCCCTCAGCTCTTCGGCTCAAGGCTAGCACTCTACCACTTGAGCCACAGCGCCACTTCCGGCTTTTTTCTTTTTGCTTATGTGGTGCTGAGAAATCAAACCCAGGGCCTCATGCGTGCAAGGCAAGTGCTCTACCACTGAGCCACCTTCCCAGCCTGCAATAAAACTTTTTGAAAAAAAAAAAACATTAAAAAAAATAGAGGTCCCCTATGACCCAGTAACCCTACTTCTGGGTATATACTCAAATGATCACAAACAAGACCATACTAAAACTGCCAGCACAACTATGTTTATCACAGTATTAGTCACCATAGCTAAGATATGGAACCAATCCAGGTGCCCCACAGTAGGTGAATGGATCAAGAAAATGTGATATATATATATATATATATATATATATATATATATATATATGAATTCTATGCTTCAATCAGAAAGAATGACACCACCCCATTTGTAAGGAAAGACCTGGAAAAAAATCATATTAAGTGAAATAAGCCAGACCCAAAGAAATATAGGTCTCATATTTTCCCTTATTTGCAATAATTAGTATAAGTCTAGGAAATTTTTCTCAGATGAGCAGAATAGCTCAATAACTATGTACATATGACCATATAAGATGATGCTAAGCCAAATGAACTCCAAGACATGGACACAAGAGGTATTTTTTGTTTCTTTTGTATGTTCTTCCCCCTGTGGTAAATCCCCTGTTGTCTCTATATTTGATTTTGGTACCCTGGTATTGTATATACATTTATTTGAATTAGGGAAGTGAAGGGGAACAACATAATGTTGAGACAAAGGACAAGGGGGATCCAATGTAACAGCAATATACACAAAATAATATGTTGGAAATAATCTGTACAACTTGGGGCGGTGGTTGGAGAGAAAGTAGGTGAAAAATTAGGGAAGGAGTAACAAGTTCGACAAGAAATGTACTTATTTCATTAATTATGTAACTTTAACCCTTCTGTATATCACCTTGACAATAAAAATAATAATGTTTTTTTGGTCTATTGTGGGGCCTGAACTCTGGGCCTGGGCACTGTCCCTGAGCTCTTCAGCTCAAGGCTAGCACTCTATCTCTTGAACCACAGCTCTACTTCTGACTTTTTCTGCTTATGTGGTGCTGATGAATAAAGCCCAGGGCCTTATGCATGCAAGGCAAGCACTCTACCACTGAGCCACCTTCCCAGCCCCATAATAAATAATTTTTAAAGACAAAAAAATAGAACAGTTTTAAAGAATTGAACGCTTTTCCCGAGGGTACTTTCTCTCCCTCCCCGACCCCTGTTTAAGTAATTGACGCTAATCAAGCTAACCTAAGGACTGAAGACTGAAAATAATTGTGATGGTGCACAGAAGCTCTGCTAGGCAGATTCCACAAAAGGGAAGAGCATGCTTTCACACTGTAGTCAAAGGCATCCATCAGTAAACCAGGGGAGCAGGTCATCACAAGTAATGGAACTTGGGCACAATCATAATCTTTTTATAAGCCAAAACAAGTGAAGTCATTGGCCATGCTGTGCCCTTTATTTCTGCCTTTCATATTCTGGGACAAATTGACACTTAGGATTATCTTTAGCAGCATCATTCCCTCACAAATGGACAGAAGAGCTGTACAGAAGCAATAAGGGTGAGTGATTTCATAGATGCAGAAAGGAGTACCCATGTCTACCCTTTTTTATTTTTTTGGGTGTCTGTCCTAGGGCTTGAACTCAGGGCCTCGGTGCTGCTGTCCCTGAGCATTTTTGGCTCAAGGCCAATAGTGTTACCACGTAAACCTCACAGCTCCACTTCCAGCTTTTTTTTTTTCTTAATTGGAGATAAGAGTCTCATGGACTTTCCTGCCTGTCTGGCTTTGAACCATGATCCTCAGATCTCAGCCTCCTGAGTAGCTAGAATTACAACCATGAACTACCAGTGCCCAGCTTCCTTTTTGCTTTTGGAGACAGGTCTTGGCTAGTGGCTCAGGCTGACCTTAATCTTACAATGTAGCATGAGCTAGCCTCATACAGTTTTCTTGCTTCAACTTCCTGAGAGCTGCGATTACAAATGTGCATCACCATACCTGGCATCTATTAAGCCAGACAGAAAGACTTGCATAAAAGTTAAACAGTGATATTTTTCTCAGAAAAAAAAATGTGTGTGTGTCAATACTAGGGCTTAAATTTAAGACCTGAGTGCTGTCATTTAGCTTTTTTGCTAAAAGCTACTGCTTTACCATTTCAAACCACAATCCTCAGTGTGAGTCACTAACTCTGGGCCTTGGCAAAATAATTTGTTTTAGAAAATATATTTCTAGTCGGACACTGGTGGTTCACACTTGTAATCCTACCTACTCAGGAGGTTGAGATCTGAAGATCACAGTTTAAAGGCAGTCTGGGCAGCAAAGTCCATGAGACTCCAGTTTACCACTGAAAAGCCAGAAGTTGAGCTGTGGCTTAAGTGGTAGAGTGTTGGCCTTGAACAAAAAGACCTCAGGGCAGTGCCCAAGCCCTGAGTTCAAGCTCCAAGACCAGCACCAGAAAAAAAAGAAAAGAAAAGAAAGGAAGGGTATTTCTTACAATGTATTTGTGATATTGAAATGGGTTTATTGTTGCAATTTTCAAGTGAATGAATATTCAGTTTCTTAGGTAATTTAAAATACTATACATATTTGTAGTTTTTATTCATTTAAACTAAATCACTTTGATGTTCTCAAATAAGCTTTAAGAATAGAAATGGATCCTGAGACAAAAAAAGGTTGGGAACCCCTGACTTAAAACAGAATTACTTTTTCTTTCAAAAAATTGCATGGACACTTGTGTTTCTTTTTCATTTTTTCTTATCTGCCATACTCTTAAACACTCATTTTAATTATAGTGATTACCAAGGTAACTAACATATTCCATAGATAAAATTGGAAGAAAGAATATGACATGGGGGCTGGGAAGGTGGCTTAGTGGTAGAGCACTTGCCTTGCATGCATGAGGCCCTGGGTTCGATTCCTCAGCACCACATGAGCAAAAAAGAAAAAAGCCGGAAGTGGCGGTGTGGCTCAAATGGTAGAGCACTAGTCTTGAGCTGAAGAGCTGAGGGACAGTGCCCAGGCCCCAGAGTTCAGGCCCCACAACCGGACCCAAAAAAAAAAGAATATGACATGAAGAATTGTCTGTCACATGCAAGCGTGTTATTAGCACACTATCAGAGGGTATAAACACACACGTTATTTATTTATCTAGATATCAAAGACCTCCTTCCCAGTAGGCATAAAACTTAATTGATTTGAGCTCAAATTTTGAGCTTTTATGATATGAATAATCATACAAGCAAAAAGACCAAGAACCCAGATTCCTGTCTCTCTCACTCAAAAGGGAATATAAATAGATCTCAGTAATCCACTGCTGCAATCACCAAATTACCAGAATGTAAAGCTGAATTCTCCATCATTTTTACCACCCGGGGGAATAACTGGTCAGCTATTCATGAACAAGAAAGAAAAATAAAACACAATACTGGGAGAAAGGAAATAAAAGCTGGAGAACTAGAAAGTCAATGAAATTCAAGTTATTATTGCTCTTTTTCACTCTGAAATACCTAGTAGCCTGCCTGGGCTCCAGCATCCCTGAGGCACACACTTAAGCAGCACAACCCCTGACTGCCAGTTAAATCCACGGGGCATTTCAATCCACTTTAGTTTAGGCAAATTCCACAGACAGCATAAAATATACCTACATATTGTACTCAGAGACATTAACCCTAATTTCAAAGGTAAAGTCATGGTACTAAAAATTTTTTTAAATGGATGTGTATCACAGATCTTAATTAAGGAGGAAACTAATAGGATATAATAAGCAGTTTAACAATCTGATTACATTTTGTTAACTGATGAAGACTGTTTTCTCCTGTTGCCTGAGCAAGTCAGAGCAGCCTTGAGACTTTAAATCTATTATCATATTGAAGATTCCAGCAGATTTTAGGATCCATAGCAGGGGCTCCAATGTGAGTCTACACACTGGCCAGTTTTGCTGAAGTTTCTGACATTTTGCTGTACTCAACTGTCACCCACCCCTGGTTTTCTCTCACAGTGACAAAGTCCAGGCTCTCTCCTATGCACAGCACACACGGCAGCTCATCTCCTGTGGCGGTGATGGTGGCATTGTTGTCTGGAACATGGATGTGGAAAGGCAAGAGGTGGGTGTCGCCCAAGGCTGGACTGGGCCCTACAGTTCTGAATCCACCACCCCTCCTGCTTATTTCTTATTTCTTTGAGGATTAAACCATAAAATGAGATGTATTGTGTTAGAAAATGTAAAAATCATAGTATAAGAGGACTTACTATTCTTTTCTACCCCTCATGAATTGGTATGTAACATTAATGTAATAGAAATTTCATGAGAATTTTAACAGACTAAGTTGTTTCTATTTTAAATCTGTTACACCATTTACAGCAAAGTACAGGTAAGAAAAAGGAACCACCTATTTTCTGGCAATTAATACTTTGGTATAAAAGATTCTGAAAACAGAAAATGCACATGCTTTATGTAATTTGGTATTAATAGAAAAATGAGAAATAATAATTCTTTTATGCTTTTCTGAGAGCCATGTTCTAGGCAGCTCTCCAGGGTATGTATATTGAGTCTTTATTAAGCATGTATTTAAATTTTACCACAATGTTTTCTTAAAAATGAGTTTTGTGTTTAATTTATAAGCATCTTAAGTACTAGGATGTTTACTGAATTTCTCCTTTATAATGTCCTTATTTCCATAGCACTGGATAGACTGTCCTTTTGACAGTGCACTATATTTTTATTTATCTCTTACATGTATAAGAGTTACATAGAAAATAACACTTTTCAAGGACAAACATGGTTTCCACAATTCTTTTCTTGCCCTCACAGTCTCTTTTCAAGAGCATAGTTGCTCTTACCCACAATGTAATACCTTTCAAATGCCAGTAATTAAATGTTTAAGAAGATTAAAGCCTTATTTGCTCAAACTATAAATCCACAGGAGTTCTATTAGTAACTAATTAAAATGATCATTACTGTTAGGATGTGAGGAATTGTTGAATATTGCTTTTGAAAAGTATATTTGGCACCATCCATATAAAGTCAGGGGATATTTCAATGAGGGCTGGTCATGGTAACCAGACTCCCATGTAAGCTGGAGATTGTGTCCTGGCTTGGGTTCTGCATGTATGGTAGCCTGCTTTGGATGAGGGACAGCCACATCTGGTTTAGCTTTGTTTCTATGAAGTTTAGTTTGTTTGAGGTTGTTGTTGTTATTTATAGAAGAAAGATCCAAAGGATCATAATTGATTTCCAGAAATGAAACCAGGTATTTGAGGAGGAATCCTATGCTTAAATTATACATCTTAACATGCAGATATAGGGGCACTTTCTATTTGTAGATGACTTAGAAATCTTAAGTCAAGACTCTAAATAAGCAGTGAAAATGGTTCCTTTCATCTTTTGCAAGCATCTTACTTTATTAACCTAAATATCCTGAAACCAATTTTGTAACTCATTACCTAATGAACTACTTTCCGGTTGTGCCAAGATCTGAAGGGTGCTCACTTTGGCAGGCCTGAGACATAAAATGAATCTGTCCCTAACTAGAAGTGCTGACACTTTTTGGAAATTTCAGAATGCTATTAAATAGTATAAATGGTGTAATAGTACAATTGATGTGAAGTTGAAAATCAGTGCTGGTATTTTGAACAGGGTGTGGGCATAGTTGGCTAATATTCTCTGAGTAGGGTTTGTGGAAGTATGTAGTGTTGAAAGGATAGTGGGGCCTGGGCATGCTCTGACTAGGAGCTTCATGAACTTTGCAGGACAAGAAATACCAAAAACAAGTGCAAAGTGAATTGGAGAGGTGACACCTATGTGTTAATGCTCATTAGCTGTATGACAGCAGTCACAGAAGAGAGGATGGCAGACAGAGGACAGTGAAGGCTGGGCAGTGGGAGATCCTGAGTGGCTGAATGCAGATTGAGTTGGTATCCCATTTATTAGTGTGTCTGTATAGTAATAAAATCCATTTTTTCAAATGTTTATCATTTTTCAACAATCATATTTATAATCTATGTTCTTTGATAGAAAAGTTATCAAAGGCTAACAAATAGTTCCTCACAATACCATACTTAACATTTTGGCAATCATCATTATGTTTTTCTCTATACATACACATTTTAAATTTTTTAACAAAAATGGAATCCTATTATACATGCCAATTTATTTTTTTCTCTCAATACCCTCTTTATAGGCATCCACTGTGATACAAATGTAGTATGTGTCTAACAGATAGAGTGTGTGTACGTTAATATTGCATAAATGATGTTATGCATACTACAAGTCTGCTTCTGTTTGAGCTCTTATATCCCATTGTATTTATCTTGGGCTCCTTCTGCATTTGATCCCATAATGTATAGCAGTTATATCTTCTCTGTTCCCAAGCAAAGGGCACATTCATGACCACAAGCTGGTCAAACACAACACCTGGATGACCACTTGTCCATCTCCTCGTACAGACCTATGTGACATTGATCCAGATGTAATCTTGGCTTTGCTAACTAGCAACCAAACAGTTATACTCTGTTATACTTTTATTGGAAGACAGGGAGTTTCCTGTCCTGACACCTTATATGCTCACCAATACTTATTCTTAATCCCTTTCTGTTTTTGCCTATGGAGGCAAGGGTAAAGATATCTTGCCTTTATTTACATTCTCAGGCTAACAGTAAAGTTTCACTTCTCTTCATGAAGTTTAGCAATTCGGGCTCCCCTGTTGTTGATTGGCATGTTCATATCTCTTGTATCTCTGTCAATTTTCATCTGTTAAACATTTTCTATGTTTAATGGTAACAATGTAATGTTTGAGAAATTGTTCCATAAGCACACATTGATACTGCTTTCTCAGTTGTCTAAATAGCACATTCAAATAAATGCCTTTTACTTATGATGTAAGATGCTTGTTCAATGTTTTCAGGCCACTAGAAGTTCCTGATTAGTCTAGGCTAATTATGTTCTATTAGCATCACTTGATTTATTTGTATAAGAAGTAACTTTTTATTTCTTTTTTTAAAATCTTCTCCTACATTTTATATTCTTAAAAAAACAATATATTTAAATTTTTTAGAAGTAAAATAGTCCTTTAGCTGACAAGTTTATTGCTGTATGATGTTTTTACACTGAATAAGAACTAAAAATTACAAAGTAAGTCCAGGATTACTTTTCTTAATCTTAAAAATAGATGAAAAAGTTTAAAAGTTTCCTTTTCATTTGGTTTATGAGAAAATGTGTAGTGTTAGGTTCATTTCTCCCTGAGGACAGAAGAGCCTGGATTATAAAGTCTTTTCTCTACAGCAGGTTTTCTTCAGGAAAAGTCCTGTCAGCGAAGGACAGAATCCAGAGCCTCTCTTGTTCTCCCGTCTACTGTGAATGTTGGGAGGGAGGTGATTTAGGACATTTCTCAAACTTGTTCCAAGTCATCTGCTTCCTGAAATTCACTTTTGAGAAACCCTAGGATTGGGAATTTTTGTTGCTTGAGTGCAGCGCTGTGTGGAAAGAGGTGACTTCCTTTGTCAAGTGATGAATTCCAGTGCTGAATGTGAAACTCTGAAACCAAAAACAATCAATATTTACATCATTTATGAAGATCCACTGAAGAATAACTTTAAGCAGAACACACTTTGAAAACCTGACTGACATATTTAGTTTATTTCTGATGGGGTTGGGAAATCGTGAACAAAGCCAGAATATTGAATGACCCATAACCCAAGGAGCAGACCTCCCATGGGGCCCTGCCATGAACAGCACTGTAGTCAGGTTATATCACTCCAACTTGGGCAGCTGACTGTGTAATGTTCATTTAAAAATCATGGTAGTACAGAAATGGAGGGACAAGGGGTATACAAATGTAGGCATGGTACTCACTAGTGTATGTTAAAATGAATTATATACAACTAACTTGTGGATGGGACAGGAGGGAAAAACTAGGAGAGAGCTAAGGAAGGAGTGACATTGTCCAGAAAGAAATGATCTCTTTACCTGACTTACATAACTGTAACCCCTCCGTACATCACTGTTATAATGACTTTTTTTTAAAGCACTGTACATAATCAGAGCAAAAGTTAATCACCTCCCATCAAAAAATATGAGATAATGTTCTAAGTTCGGGACCCTGTGAGGCTTGGCCCTGCCACCCTCCTCCAGATTTATTCCTGTGGTCCTTAGCTGCTCTCAGCTCCCTTTCCTAGCCTCCTTCCATACATTAGGGGTTCTGCTACCATACCACTTGCAGAGAACCCCAGCCTGAATCTGAGCCCTGTTTTCCCTCTGCATTGTGTGCTACTTCTTGGGCTTCTTACTCTTGGACTTACCAAAGAATTGTTAATATTTTTATGACTTGAATGTAGAGAATTCTTTTTATTCACTACTACATCTTATCCCAGTGCCTAATAACATATGAGATAATTCAGTAAGTACTTTTTGAATAGTTGACTGAGAAATAAGGCCCTCTGTTTCTTTTTTTTAATATTATTTTACTATAAAGATGATGTTCACAGGAGTTACAATTACATGAGTAAGGCAATGAGTACATTATTTGTTGATCATAGTTACTCCTTGTTGATCATTGTTACCTCTTCCCTTGTTGTTATCCCATTATCCCTTCCCACCCTCATCTCCCACACTTCTCCCCACCCCATCCCACCCAACCTCCCCCACCTGAGTTGTAAAGTTCATTTCCAATATACTGTCCTGTGGGTATCATTGTTGCAGTAGGTCATCCTGTGTCCTTGTTTCAGCATTTTGTTATTTCCCTTTTCCTCCCCAGATTAGACAAATGTATATACAAGTACAAGATGCACAGTACCAAAATCAAGTACAGTGACAACAGGGGATATGCCATAGGGGGAAGAACATACAAAAGAAACAAAAACATTTAAAACAATAACAATAGAGACCCTTTGTGTCCATATCTTGGGTTCATTTCACTTAGCATCATCTTATATGGACATATGTGCATACTTTTGAGCTTTTTAGCTCTTCTGATAAGATTATCCTATATGTATACTAATTATTGCAAATAAGGGAAATCATGAGGCCTAAATTCTTTGGGACTGGCTTACTTCATTTAATATGATTTTTTCCAAGTTTTTCCATTTCCTAACAAATGCAGCAGTGTCGTTCTTTCTGATGGAAGCATAGAATTCCATTGTGTGTGTGTGTGTGTGTGTGTGTGTGTGTGTGTGTGTGTGCGTGCATACACACACACAAATACCACATTTTATTGATTTACTCATCTAACTGAAGGGCATCTGAGTTGGTTCCATATCTTAGCTATGGTGAATAAAGCTGCGATAAACATAGTTGTGCTGGTAGCTTTAGTACGGCCTTGTTTGTTTCCATTTGGGTAAATGCCCAAAAGTTGAGTGGCTGGATCATAGTGGAGCTCTATGTGTAGTCTTTTGAGGATCCCACTTACTGCTTTCCAAAGTGGTTGAACAAGTTTACACTCCCACCAACAATGCAGTAGGGTTCACTTTTGAAGGCCCTCTGTTTCTAACACATCCGGATTCTGAAAGCTTCATCACTGTCAGACTTCTTTGTCTATACCACTCCTCACTGTGACCTGTTGTGTGCTTTATTTGACCAGACCCCTGAGTGGTTGGACAGTGACTCCTGCCAAAAGTGTGATCAGCCTTTCTTCTGGAACTTCAAGCAAATGTGGGACAGTAAGAAAATTGGCTTACGGCAGGTAGGTGATGTGGGTGTTACATCAAACTATAATTCTGAGGAAATAATGTAGCCTTATAGCCTCAGGTAAAATAATGACCCCAGGTGGGAGTTGTGGTGGGGTAGCTTGTAGTAATTGCAAACAGCACCTCGATCTACCCCCCTCCTTAGTCTACTGCAGTTTTTGCCTACTAGATTCCATTTCTGTAGTGACTCTTTCCCATTAAGTTGTGGAAAGACATTGTTTCAGAATTTTTAATGGCATCTACTAAAATGCACTTAAAAATTAAAGGTGCCAGGGCTGGGAAGGTGGCTCAGTGGTAGAGCACTTGCCTTGCATGCATGAGGCCCTGGGTTCGATTCCTCAGCACATATAAGCAAAAAGAAAAAAGCTGGAAGTGGCACTGTGGCTCAAGTGTTAGAGCGCTAGCCTTGAGCTGAAGAGCTGAGGGACAGCGCCTAGGCCCAAAGTTCAGGCCCCAGGGCTGAACCCCCTCCCCCCCCAAAAAAATTAAAGGTCCCATGCTCATCTAGGTTCAAACCATGAAATTATAGAAGTAATATTTATTTTTCTTTCATTATGTGACTTCTAATTTTGTTTTAGTTATTCAGATCTGCTCATTGTACAGAATTTTTAATAACCTATGATTTGATTTGGTCTTCCCTAAAGAAATAAAATGTTAGGTCACTAGGTTGAACATGGCCACATTTAAGAGACAATGGGTTGAGTCAGCATTCATCTGTGTTCTCCTTCATCCAGAAGTGATAACTAAAGGTCCTCAGTTCACTCAGCTTTAAGTTCACTTGATCCTAGGTACCTCCTCTGTAGCTCACAGGGAGGGTGACTGAAAAGGATAGAGGAGGGACAGTGGGAGGGGGAGGCAGCATTATCAGATGTGTTTCCTGCAGTCTTCATTATGAACACAGCCCGGAAAGTGACACTTGGTTTTTGCTTTATTAGGTTTCTAGGTACTCTTTGGTTTCATAAGATAGGGCCTAACTCTATAATCCAGGCTGGCTTCAAATTTTCTCTGTCTCCCTGCTTATACCCCCCAAGTGCAGAGATTATAGGCATGCACCATGCCTGGCTCCAGGGCTCTTGCCTGGCATCCCCACCCAAGTGTGCCAGAAGGGCGGTGTGGAGTCATGATAATCTGTTTTCTCTCCTTCCTCAGCACCACTGTCGCAAATGTGGGAAGGCTGTCTGTGGCAAGTGCAGTTCCAAGCGCTCCTCCATTCCCCTGATGGGCTTCGAGTTTGAAGTAAGGGTCTGTGACAGCTGCCATGAGGCCATCACAGATGAAGAGTAAGTTCCAGCGATCTGCAGGCCCCTTCTGGTCAGAGGAATCCAGTCTGTGAGCTTCTTCACTTAGCACACAGCCATGGTTTTAGGGCTCTGGCCCCTGCTGCTGTAGAGCATGGAAGTGTGAAAAGCTCTTCTTTGCCATCAACAAATGCATGTGATCTTTTTTTTCTTTTTTCTTTTTTTTTTTCTTTTTGACAGTCGTGGGGCTTGAACTCTGGGCTTGGCACTGTCCCTCAGCTCTTCAGCTCAAGGCAAGCACTCTACCTCTTGAGCCACAGCACCACTTCCAGCATGTGATCTTAAGAGGCAAGGGGAGTGCTCAAAGAACTCATCTATGAACTTCCTTTAGTTCATGAGTATGTGTGCATTTAAGGAAATGCTCTTCTTTCTGTCTTCTTATTTTCTGGGAATTATCCAGGATTGCAAGGGCTCAGCACTCACCTTGAAGGCCAAGCTGGTATCTGTTATTAGAGTTGAGTCAGCCCTCTGGTTCTGGGAACTTTCAGTTTCCAGGAAGAGCTAAGCCACTTTACCAAAGACCCAAATAGTCCCAGTGCCTTCTACGCAACTGACTTCTCATCAGTCCTTCCTCAGGATTCCAGCACGCTAGGTGTGCTTTGAAAGGTGGCCAGAACTATGCTTTGTCTTCAATGTTGACTAACTGACAATTACCTGACAACAGCTCTGAAATGTTTCCCTGTTAGCAAGTTACTGGAGGGTAACTTATCTTCACAATCCTCCTGTGCCTTGTACTGTAGTCAATTTGTTCTAAATACTTCTGTTTATCCATATCAGATATACATTAAGATACCCTTGCATAAGTAGACATATATATTCATTATTGTCCACTTCTCATATATGGTAGAGTTAGTAAGGGTTTTTACTGAGAGGAAACCTTAGAGATAGTCTAATTCATTTCTTCATTTATAGCGATATAGATTAGAGTCTAAGGAACTTGCAAAGTAAGCCTAAACCTGTAATTCTGATCATTTTTAGTATACTGCAGACCTGCCCCTTGGATTTTTATAGAAAAAAAGGAAGAAGCTGGGTGCCAGTGGCTCACACCTGTAATCCTAGCTACTCAGGAGGTTGAGATCTGAGGATCGGGGTTCAAAGCAGGAAAGTCCATGAAATTCTCATTTCCAATTAGCTATCAAAAAAGCCAAAAGTAGAGCTCAAGTGGTAGAGCACTTGCCTGGAGCTGAAGAGCTCAGGAACAGTGCCCAGAGTTCAAGCCCCATGACACTGACCAAAAAGAAAGAAAGAGAGAGAGAGAGAAGAAGGAAGGAAGGAAGAAAGAAAACCATGTTCTGAGAGCCCAGTGCAGAAGAGTGGCCCTTGAAACAGGAGAGTTGTCTGCTTGACTGAAACCCTGGCTCCCCTCCTCCTGTGACTTCCACCCTTCCTCGCTCGGAGCACCTAGGCAGCTGCCAAACCTTCTTACTAAAGCTTGTTACACCTTGAGAGAATGCATAAGAGAAACCTAAGTCTGCAGTTAGACTGTGAGAAAAAGAAAAAAGAATGGATCGCCTTCAGTTACAATGACAGTCAGTAGTTATCCTGGGCATTTTAATAGCACACTTTTTTTAAAAAATTAAATAGGCCAAGGTAGACTATTTTACTAGCACTTATCCTTCTGAGCAAAAACTTAGCAAAAGCAATGTGGTTTTCAAAAGACTTCAAAAAAATACAAATAGAGCTTTTCAAAGACTCTTATCAGAGTAGCACATTCTCTTGAAGGACCTTTGGAGATACCTCTTTCCCACTTTGGCAACTATAAGAAAACATTCCTTTATTATCTTTTTTAAATCATATAATAGACGACCATGGAATAAAAGCAGATCTGGGAGGTTCTAACAGTGAAACGGTTCTAGCCATTAAGCCAAATATTAGAATGTAACATCACACCCTAGATCTCCAGAATTCATAAGTCAACTACTTACTCTTGTTTTGTTCCCTTCAGACGTGCTCCCACAGCCACCTTCCATGACAGTAAGCATAACATTGTGCATGTGCATTTTGATGCAACCAGGGGGTGGTTACTGACTTCTGGAACTGACAAAGTTATTAAGGTAAGATACTATCTTATGAAGCTTTCCAGTTTGGGGCTTTATAAATAGAGCCTGTAGAGCTCTGTTCAGGTTATCCCGAGCTTGAGCATTTTTGAGAGCCTTTTACATGAATGGATCTAACATGCAAAGAACAGCTCCTCTAGTAAGTCATGCATGGCAGTCAGAGGAGTAGCACAAATGAGAAGAATTTTAAGCATTCAGCAGAGGGAGATGGAGCTGCTGGGAAAGCTGTCATGAAGCTAATGGGGTTGACCTAGTCACTGAATGTAAGATAGGACTTGAATAAGCCAACAGGTGGTAAACAAGACCTTTCCCACTAAGATCAATTAACCTAAGAGCATTCATCAAGGGCCTCTCTGAGGACTAGTGACCAACTGGATTTGGGGATATAGCAAAGGCCCTGAATAGAAGGGGCCACCTATGTCATATCCCATCCCAACCCTGGAGTCATTAGCAACATGTAGAGGTTAAATAAAATATTTAAACCCAGAAGCCTTGGTTCCCTTATTTTTGACATTTTATAGAATTTTTTGGAAGATTAAATGAGAAGATGTGGGAAGAACATGGTATGTGCGTAGTGTCCAGTATATATTAGTTCCCTTTGTCCTTAAATGTATCTGATCTGTCTTTATTCTTCAGTAGCTAGAGAGAAATGTCAGGTTGCTCCTAAGTTTTTGATCTTTAAAGATCTAGAAATCATGTAGTGAAGTATGTAGTTGCTTGCTAAAAGAAAAAAAATTCACTTAAGTTCAGTTCTAAGGATTGTTCATCCTTCATACAATTTGATTTATCTCATCCTTCATCTTCTTTTTCTCTTTACAGTTGTGGGATATGACCCCAGTAGTGTCATGATGGCTACCCCAGGAATCAAAAAAAATAGCATTTACTAAAGAAATGGGTGTTCTAATCTGAATCAGTACTGGAAAAGTAAAGCATACGTGTGAGCAGGAAGAGAAGCTAAAGACCCTGGGTGAATTTGCATCTTAACTATGCAGTCAGTGGCAAACTAGTGAAAGAACCTTTGCAGGGACTCTTCAACTTGTTCATACAATACAAAAGAAGATATTTTTTTTATCAAATGGCTTATACAGTCTGACTGTGCTACAGTGTTTTGACTATACTGAAAAATCTGTGTGGGATGTTTGATTTTTCAGTCCTCCATTTTACTTGTTGCTTTGTGTATTGGAGAAATGAGGAAAGTATCTGTTTAGGGTATTTTGGTCATAAAGTAGTTTCCATGCGTTTTGCTTTATTTTTACCTCAACATGTATTGTGGGCATCTTTTTCTTTGTCTCCATGTGCCCATTACTGCTTTGCAGCAGAGTGTATGTATGTATTTCAATGTTTGTTCCCAGTGTCTCTGCTTTCCTGTCTTCAGTGGAAAGAGTGCAGATCTACCAGCTGAGTTCTTGAATTGCCTGAAGATTGACTCAGCCCTATTGCCTGACTTGCTGATGTTCTTACTAACAGTGACTTTGTATTTCTGCCTGTTGTCTCTGTCTTCCCACATTAGAAAAAAGCTGCTCCCAGCCATTGTCATCCGAGTAGATGATTATAACTGAGAGCTTCAACCATCAGTGCCTGAATCTTTTAGAATTCAGTTGAGGCTTCCTGAACCTTTCATGTTTTGTTTTATTTTGTTTTTTTCTTTTTTCTTTTTTGGACATAGCTGTCCCTTACTGATAATATCAGCACAAAACAAAAACCTATGTGCTTCCAAAACAAGTGTTTTATAATGTTTCTTTCCCTGTGTGACATCATCTCAGAACTTGAATTTCATTACTTTAAGATTATAAACCTTCTTTATTCTTTATCATCTATATTGTGTTCCACTTTAAAAAAAAACAGATGTTAAACATCTGTATCTTAATGTATTTCACCAGAACTATTTGTATACTTTCATACGAAGACTGTAGGTGATCTGATATAAAAGGTACTGAAGCCTGCAGATCAAGCTCTTTTCTTGTTAGGAACATAAAAGAAGACTTTAGAAAATGAACTTAAAAAATTTGTCTAAGGGAATCCAGTTAAGCTTGATAAAATGAACTAAGTGACTCACTTCAAGATATTGAACTCCTTATTAAAAAATCTTTTAAGTTGGGTGTTGGTGGCTCCTGCATGTAATCCTAGCTACTCAGGAGGCTGATATCTGAGGATTGCAATTTGAAGCCAGCACAGGCAGGAAAGCCCATGAGACTTTTATCTCCAGTTATAAAATAAAAGCCAGAAATAGAGCTGTGGCTTAAGTGGTACAGTGCCAGCTTTGAGTGAAAAAGCTAAGGGACAATACACAGGCTCTGAATTCAAGCCCCAGTACTGGCACAGATATACAAAATAAATCTTTTCACCTATAAAAATAGAATTAAGATTAGTTACAAGCATGTACTAGATACCTATTCCACTCTAAGTACTTTGCACATCTAACACCTCAGTGGATCTCCTATGTCAGGACTATTAGGGATCACCGAGTCTCTTGAGCATCACCAGGTTAAATAAATACCAGGTTAAATGCTGATTGCAGATAAACAGGCCAATTGCTTGCCCTTTCCTATCTATATCCTACCTCCAAAGTATCTTATTCTCTTATTCTCTTTTTGGTGATGGTAGTAATTAAGCAAAATTGAAATCCTCTCTATTATTTTTCTTCCTTTCCTGGAAAGCTGGTTTGTTGTTTTTTTCCTCATGAGCATGTTACTTTTCTCAATGGAGTAAATACTACAAGCCGTACATGATAACACCCATAACATTGACCATGTATACTCCCTGAGGCATACGGTTTCCTGGAGTTCATTCTAATGGCCTAGTATAGGCAAGCAGGACCTGTGTGTGTGTGTGTGTGTGTGTGTGTGTGTGTGTGTGTGTGTGTGTGCACGCGCGCACACGTCCCATGCAGTCATGACCCATGACAGCCATCACTTGAAGCAAAAACCTTGACACACACACACACACACACACACACACACGCAGAAATCATCACCCCCTGTCACTTCTCTGCCCCTCCCAGAGTGCTCTTGCTTACTGCTTACACTCAGCCAGAGCCACTATAACTCCTTTTTTTGCATGACTGCTCTGTGAGTAAGCTTTTAAAAGTGAATTTGATTTACAATATTCAAGTATCTATTTTGTGGTTTATTATGAGATCTGCAGTCACCTACCAAGCTGCTTATGATAGAGTACTGTGAGTTGGAAATGAGTAATAGAAATTAATCACTGTGAATCTCCCTTTCTGACCTTCAGAGGTTGGCCTGTACACAGAGAGGGAAAGCCAGTATTAGGGAGGCAGAAGGTTGAGCACTCAACAAGCCTTGTGTGGATTCTCAATTAGGCATAGATGAGTTCAGACTGTACTGGAAAGCTGATTGTCCCCATTGTTCACATGCACACTGTATCTTTCTGTTCTGTGACTCTGACTCTTCACTCTAGCCACCTCCCTCCCATCACTGCCATATCCCAGCCCACAGAGCATCTCAGAAGTTGAAACCACATGAAACCTCACTGATAATGAGAATCATGATTGAAAACCACAGACACACAAAGGCAGCCGTTGCTCTGCCCTTCTCTTTCCCCTTATAGTGTGGCTTCTTACATTTGGTGAGAAGAGCTTGGCAAACAGTGTGTTTTTGTACTACTGTGAATTCTAGAGTTTTTGCCTTAAGTATGTCGACCATTTTGTGACTCATAGAGAAGTATAGGCTGGTGTGGGGTATCTTCCAAGCATTTTGTAGTAATCGCAGGCTTCCCTCATTAGTAAGAGCTGGCACCAGCCCTTGGTTTGTCTCCTGTCTAGGCAAAAAAAAAAAAAAAAATCATAGTTCTTATTTTATCCTGTTGGGTTTGTATTTTACTTTTATTTTTGCTTTATTAAACATACAGCAGTTTTGGCAAATAATGTCTAATATTACCTATGTTAACAGAACTACACATATCATACACAGAAAGTTCCCTTTTGGTGGAAGGAAACAATCTTCTGTTCTTGATTCCTCCAAAGGAATGACATTCCCAGAGCTTTCAGTTGCCTGGGTGTGTCTCCCACCACAGGCAAAAAAGTGGTTTTAAAATAAGTGCTTGGAATCTTATGTCATTTTATATGAGGTCAATCAACCATAATGTGTTTCTCATTTGATTGTCTGACTTATCTAAAGAATCCTAAAATCACAAAACTGGAAGAATCTTGAGATCTAGAATGTTCTGTCTCTGTCCCTCTGTCTCTGGCTCTGTCATCTCTCTCTTCTCTTTCTTCTCTTTTCTCTCTCTCCTCTTCTTTCTCTCTCTCTCTGTCTCTCTATATGTCTTCATACCAGGCAGGCAGTTAGATCTGAGATGTAAATGAGAATGTGGAAGAATATTCAAGGAACAATTGGTTTTGAACCTTACCTAGTAAGGACACAAGTGTTTGGAGCAGCTCCCTAGCTTTGGAACAGGGAGTGTCTGGAACCAGGCTAGCTTCCCATTAGGAGCATATTAGACACCACTTTTGGCCCCGCCCTGAATTATGAGTGGGTGCGTACTATGTCAGGAGGCAGTTACTGCACTTCTTTGCTCACATAATCTCTTTCCCTCACTCTTCCCCAACTACCCCAGTGGCAAAATTGAAGTAGAAATGCAGGAGCCCTGATGGCGCATGCTGCCCTATTTGCTGAACTCTGTAGCATTTGTCCTTGTGGGACATGTATGAGGCTATTTTTTAAAAGCATAATGTAATTTTGTTTAACATTAATCCTTGAAGCTTCAGTTTGGGCTTTAAGCAAAAGAAATATCTCTAAAACTATGTCATAGGTAGTAGACATAAATATTCATTAAATGAGACTTCTTTGGTTTTGCCTTTTCAGTATAGTTTAATGGCATGAAAGTGAGCTTGTTCACTAAGATTGATATTTTGAAGCAGAAGCAAAACATTTTGCCAAAATGTTCTTTTTTTCTCTTTTAAAAAATAATGTTAGGTTACATTTTTCCTGGTATGAAATTAGCAACTTGATTAGAAAACACAGAAATGGACCACATTTTGAACATAAATTATCTAGGTGATTCTGCAGATTCTAGTCTGTAGATTCTTAGGGAGAAAAAAAATCCCAAGAATTGGTATCTGAAAATGACCAGTGTTATTAATTTTGGAGTCTTTCTTGAGTACACTGCCTTTCCTCATAGGTTGTGAATAGACCCCAAAACCATGACATGCATGACCCTTGACCTGGAAGAACTTACAGTTATTGTGTTGCTATTATTATTTAAGATAAGGTGTCACTGTATAGCCCAGGCTATTCTCAAATTTATGTTTCTCCTGCCTCTGCCTCCTGAGTGCTGGGATTTATAGGTGTTTGCCATCCTTCTCAGCTTCCACTCCTGCTGAGAGCCCTCTCTACACAAGGTTTTAAAGTCAGTCCTGAGGTCATCATGTCTCTATGCACTTGTCCTTCTGCTCAGAGGCCTTGCAGACAAGCAGACAAGCCATTGCAGCATTGTGAAAAATGTAAGAGTGAAAATGTGCTTGGATGCCCCCAGCCTGGCAGAGAGGCAAGAGGGATTTAGAAGAGGAAAGGACTTCTAAGCTGAAGACAAAGGGTCAGAAGGGATGAGTTGAGTAGGGGAAGGAGAAATTTAGTGAGACAGTGTTAACAAGCCTGTGGTCTAGAATTTATCTGAGGCACCCAGGGGTTGTGCAGCTCAGCTGCAGGCCTGGAGCCCGAGCCCTTGCAGCTCTTAGATGTTTCCTTCAGGGAAAATATACACACAGCTCTCTGAACATCTGAACAACCCTGTTGTTCAGATGCTCACCCTATAATCAGTGCTAGTGTCTATTTCTTGTTTTTGTAGGTGGGGAAAATCACAAGAAGTGGTATCTGTTACTAATTTCAGAGTCTTTCTAGCTATATTACCTTTCCCTGGAGGTTGTAAGTAGAGCTTAAAATCATGACTCTTGACCTGGAAGGATTTACAAGCTAATCCGTAGAGAGACTGTGATCAATTGCTCTGTTTTGAAAAAGGAAAGACTTTGACCCACTAGGGCAGGTAGTTGTTTTGCTCAAGGATAGCATTGCACTTACAGATGGTGCTGTTACAGGGCACAGATGGACTGGTCCTTCCTATCCTCAACCTTAGATTGCTCTAGAATATGACAGATCATTCCAGTACAGTGTGGTAGGCACAATAAATCCTCACCAGTGGAGGCGAAAGGTTTTCTCACAGAAGCTAAGGGTAAGAAGGGTTTGGGCAGCCACTCTCTAAAAAACCTGGCTCAGCCAAGGTAGGAGCATCCCATGGAGTGCTTGGCAGCACCCCCTTTTTTTTTTTGGTCAGTCATGGGGCTTGAACTCTAGGCCTAGGCACTGTCCCTCAGCTCTTCAGCTCAAGGCTAGTGCTCTACCACTTGAACCACAACACCACTTCTAGTTTTTTGATGGTTAATTGGAGATGAGTCTCAGGGACTTTCCTTCCTGAGCTGGCTTTGGACTGTGGATCTCAGATCTCAGCCTCCTGAGTAGCTAGGATTACAGGTGTGAGCCCTTGGCGCCCAGTGGCAACACCTGTTTCTTACTGTTACATTGTTTGCCCTTTTTTTTCAGGCCTAAGTCCTAACTGACTTCTGGAACATCTGCATTTGCATTTAAACTTTAGCTCACAGAGGAGCTGTGGTTCAAGTGGTACCAGCCTTGAAAGAAAAAGGCAGGTGAGAACACAAGGTCCTGGAGTTCAAACCCCAATACCGTCTAAATACATACATACATAAATACATACATGTAGAGCAAGCTTTTGTTCAGCTGTACAACCAAGAACCATGTCATATAGCAAGCTTTGGGGATTTTACTTTGCATTTTTGCCTTTTAACATTAACCTTTCCGTCAAGAAGCTGCTTCAGGTCTAACTTATATCATTGTCTAAAATAAGATCTGTCCTAAATTAGAATAGAGTCCTTTTCTTACATTTCTCATGTCAAGGAAGTTTTTAACAGACAGTATATAGGCCCTTGTCACCAGATGTTGAGTGTGAGGGGTGAATTTGATAGTCCTTTCAAGGTCCCTTCTGGTCTTGTGATTCTCCAGTTCTGTGAATGTTGTTTATTATAGGCCTAACAAACAATTACCAGTCACATGG